GAAACATTTGTGCTTGTTCAACACCCATGGACCCCTAGTGGTTTAGACTGAAACTTTGCTGAGCAGATATTAGTTACATTTTTTGTAAGAGAATGCATAATCTGGTGTGATCACTACTTTCAAAGAGGCCAGTAGGTTAAAAACCTCGAACAAGATGGCTCCAAACATTTCCGTCTGTTCATTTTTACTTAAAAGGCATGAGTCAACCTGTGGTATGGCTTTAGGTCCTTCCCAAAGGTATTATCCTCCCTAGGCCGATAACATCAGGAAGTCACCATCCTGACAAATTGACGATGGTAAGATTCAAACTTCGTATGTTCTAACCACTTGGTCACGTGACCAGATTCATGAGGGCTGTCGTCTCGTAAAACGAGTATGACCATTTATCCATGGTTTTAATCCCCGTGAGAAGGAAAATAGCTCTTGTGACCAACAAGTGACTTAAGCAGTGCATGTTACAGATACGGCAAACTAAATTCTGTACAGGACCTGGCCTGTTTTCGCAAATGCTATTCTTGTTACTCGTGGTTTTCAGGAGACAAGTGACATCGGTGCAGTTTATACAGGTGTTGTAACACTCCTACATATTAAGTTGTTGTCAAAGGTCTACCAATGACAGTCTGTGTGGTTAACGAAGCGTTCATTGGACAGACGTAATCTGCTACATTCATCGCATGTAAATTGATGGATTACTAGATCAATGATTTTACCATTAACACTTAACATTTGCCCAACTCGTTGGATATTTTTGGAAGATATAAGTGCTTTCATGAATTTTATGGCTCCCCTTATTTCGATCACAAACAACAGTTTCCCACTCAGTAACAACACCCTTGTGCAAATTAATTGAAACAACCGCTTTAGATTCCTTTCTTTCAACATACGGTCAGATTAGGTTATTTGAAGCAGTGTGTAGTAATATGAATCTATTTCCGGGGTGTATGATAAAATTTATTTGGCCTTGAAAAATAGTGCGTCATCCGTGATTGCATGAGATTTTAATCACGCCCAGACATTACTGACTCGACTATCGATTAGTTGTCTTACGGACATTGTCTGAGATGGACGTTACTACAAGGAAGCTTACGAAAATTGTGACGCTGCACGAATACAATGGCAAGTCTTACGAGTGAGAAAATCAAAGTACTATAGACTCACCCGGAAATTGTCCGTATTTAAATTCAATCGAGAATCTGTGATTAATCTGCAAGGAACGACTTCGTGGAATGGACCTACGAAGTACTAACAAGTGCACTGGGTTATGTTTCATTGGAAAAATACGAAAATAAAGTAAATAATAACTGAATTATTCGTTTTGTTTCAAGTAATTTGCACAGGGGTGTACTATATGGCAGACTGAAAGATATTATTTTAAGAAACATTTTAAGTGCTTCCTTGGTTTATGCAGGGGTAAAGTCGCCGTAAACATTTGCATAGGTATTCTGCTGTCTTTATGAAAAATGACATGGCCTGCACACACACACACACACAAACACACACACACACACACACATATATATATATATATATATATATATATATATATAAATACATACTCAGTTGCGGGCTACTGGTTTCCGAGCACACCCCTCTGATAGAGCTCCTAATCAATCCCTGTTGTAGACGCCTTCTCAGACCCTTGTTCAATACCCATAGAGCTCACTTGCGGTTTATAATGCAACTATGGTGGGCGGACCTGATTTACAGTTTCTGGGATTGAAGGCATAATCTGGCTTGATCACCAGTTGAAAAACTCCAGTACGATTAAACTCTCGGTCACGATGACTTGTGACTTTCTGCTTGTATAACCATCGACAACCTCCGAACATTTCCGCCGACACAATTTCACTCACAAGGGAAAATTCATGTATGGTTTTCAGACACTTTTCAGTAGTGCTCGCTATAATTCAATGTCGGTATTTGTGGGCTGTATTTTAATAAAATATTGATCTTTGGAGGGTTAGTATTGAAAAAGAAGTTTTTATTTTGTTTTGTTTTTTTACTTACGTTACTCAAATGTAAGCTAAACGATGCTGTTTTGAAGTAAAACAGACGACCACTCCGATTTGTATGATTGGGCTATGACCATGTTATTTTCGTAAAGAGTTATCGGACTTGCACTGGAGTTGATTCGTAGGACAAATTAACTGTCGGTTTCATTTTTTTATTTTATTTTGTAACCACAAGTTTTAGTTATATTGCCATAACTTAATTACTTTGGAGTGTGTACACAATTCATTTTGATAAAGACAGAAAATTGATTTCGCCGAGATAAAAGTGATCCTGCAATAGGGGACGTTTACGCGGGAAATTAGAAGTCCGCTAACATTTTAATTTGCCGGCATATTTGATTCTAATTCAGAGGCCAAATTGGACAGGCTAATCAAATAATCAAAGTAGAGAGAATCGAATAGAGACTGATGTCTCCTAATCATAAAATAGCCGACGTAGTCCGAGAATAGCCGTAAATACGAAAATTTAATGTGCCTAACTTCGATGTGTGTTTACCGTCGTAATCTTCGAACAAACATTTTGTTTCCGAAAATTAACATAATATTCCGATACATTCTACGAGTTCAGTTATTGAATAAGAGCAATTCTGGGACATTTTAGGGGTGCTTAAGTGTAGGTTAATGTATCTTCTTCTTCTTATGGAGTTACTACATCCTTGTGCAAATTAATAAAACGAATCATTTCGTTATTATTTACTTTTTTTTCGTATTTTTCCAATGAAACATAACCTAGTGCATATGTCAATACTTCGTATGTATATTCCACGAAGTCGATTGACCACAGATTCTTGATTGGATTTAAATAAGGACAGTTTCCGGGACAGTCTGCTACTTTGATTTGCTCATTGGTAAAGCCTGCCAGTGCGTTCGCACGCTTCCTTGGAGTAACATAGGACAACTAATCGACAGTCGATACAATAGTGTCTGGGCGTGACGAAAATCTGATGCAATCACGTATGACGCAATATTTTTCAAGGCCAAACAAATTTCACCATATACCCCGAAAATAGATTCATATTACTGCACACTACTCTAAATGACCTAATCTGAGGAAAAAATAGAAATCGATTACATCCTGTCATTCCAGTGGGGCTAAAAAGGACCGTATGATGAAAGAAATGAAACTAAAGCGGTTGTTTCAATTAATTTCCACAAGGATGCACACCACGCCCATCCAGTGTTGCCCAAAAAAGCCTTGCTTGGTGTGTTATGGTTTCAATGTTGTTAACTGTACATGGATCTCCAAGACTGGGGCAAACTAGATGTTCAATTACTCTGTGATTGCCAGCATTGGCAGTTAGGTTCAAAATCGGTGGCATATCCGCATTTTTAAGGTTGGCTCTACGGCGAACAACAGCTGTTCAGAGCTGATTTAGGCAAGCCAGAAGGACCAAACATTACTGGAGACAGAGGGAGGGATTCTGTAGGGCAGATAGAGGGACTGTATCCTGCGCTATTAAAGTGAATGCACGGAAGGGGCGTTCTCGACACGGTCTTCGTCAGATGAGTTCTCTCATTTGCCATTCATTCCCTAACACAAAGCTACACGCTATGGGTTAATATATATCGAACTACTCTGGTTGGCCGATTTAATGAATAGTGAGTTCTCTCACATGCCGTCTCAGAAGTGTAGCTTTTTGCAAAACTAAGCTTAAAGTTGGGTAATGGTTGGGTAATGGTTAGTGACCTAGTCTGCTTAGCCATTACCATTTATTATCGAGTTCGATGATTACTGGGCGCCCGATAATTATCGGCCTTGGGGCAAAATAATCTCAGCTTAATGAGCAGCAACTGTTGAAATCTTTTTTATATATACCATTTCGCAATGGCACTTGCCATGTTGCGACATCCATCATGCAACGCTGTCAAACCAATTTGACCGGGAAATCAGTTTGAGGAGCGGCTGCATAAGTTATCAGCGTGGAAAGTGGAATCAGATAATCGAGTTCAAAATACGGTAAAGTGATTTCGCATAAACGCCATTCGGAAAAGCATGGCTCCGTCACTTCTCCCTCCAGATATGGGTGAAATAGCAAGATTGGGTTGGGCCCTCTAGCTGTGCTTGAGAGCAAGTCTAGGAGAAGGATTATCTGAGATTCGAAATCGTGAAACAGGCAACGCGAAACCATTCCACTGCATTTCCTAATGCCATGTCAGAGATAATAAATGAAAGGATAATAAAGGAAATGATAATATAGGAAAGCATAATAAAGGAAAGGATAATAATGGAAAGGATAATAATTGAAAGCATAATAAAGGAAGACATAATAAATGAAAGGATAATAAAGGAAAGTATAATAAAGGAAAGCATAATAAAGGAAAGGATAATAATGGAAAAGAAAATATTTGAAAGGATAATAAAGTAAGGGATAATAATGGAAAGGTTAAAAAATGAAAGGATAATAAAGGAAATTATAATAAAGGAGATAATAATAATGGAAAGGATAATAATGGAAAGGATAATAAAGGAAAGAATAATAATAAAAAGGGTAAAAAAGGAAAGGATAATAAAGGAAATTATAATAAAGGAGATAATAATAATGGAAAGGATAATAATGGAAAGGATAATAAAGGAAAGAATAATAATAAAAAGGGTAAAAAAGGAAAGGATAATAAAGGAAATTATAATAAAGGAAATGATAATAATGGAAAGGATAATAAAGGAAAGAATAATAAAGGAAAGGATAATAATGGAAAGCGTAATCATTGAAAGGATAATAATGGTAAAATATTAAAGGGAAGGATTATAATGGAAATGATAATAAATGAAATAATAAAAATGGAAAGGATAATAAAGGAAAAGGATAATAAAGGAAAGGGTAAAAAAAGGAAAGGATAATAAATAAACGAGGCCTACGTTCTCAAAGAACAGAATATTAAAAAGAAATTGTAAAAAATTCTCCAAACGGTTTACTGGCAACGAATTAAGCCGTAGACACTTATCTTTCTACGTCAATCGCTGTTTATATATGCATATATCTAAGTCAGGATCTATCTCTTTCTCTCTCTATCTATCTATGATTTTTTCTATTCTTCTCTTTCAAACTCGCTGACAACATGTATTTCAGTCAGTTCGTATCTATGCTCGACAGATATATCAATTTATTTTGATCGACGAATGTTTGTCTGTTTCACAATGTTTATATCTATATTTCGAATTCAGTCGTAGACACTTATCTTTCTACGTCTATCGCTATTTATATATGCATGTATCTAAGTCAGGATCTATCTATCTATCTATCTATCTATCTATCTATCTATCTATCTATCTGCACCCACTTGACAACTACGGGTGAAATATCAAGACGGGAATCTCTTACCTTAGACGATTGCATGTCTAGGAAAATAAAATATCGGAATTTAAATCATTGGGAAGCGAATCGAAGACGTTACTATTATTTTACTCGTGAAATCATAGAACTTCACATAAAAAGAAAAATGTAGCTTCCCTTTGCCTTTTCTATAAATGCTCTGATGGTAATTGTTCTAATGAACAGTCGTTATCTGCTGCCTTTTTAGTCCGTGTTCTTTTATTGTCCTCTTTCCTTAATTCTTTTTTCCTTTTTCTCATATTCCCCAACATTCAGGAACTCTTTGCGTCCTAGTGGCTTTATTGCCTTTCTTAAGGTGAAATGTTTAAAAAGAAAAATGTTGAAAAACCTGACATCATGAAAAGGCAAAGCATTTATAAAAATCTGCCAAAATGTTTCCTGCGTACGGTTCTTCGCTATAATGTGTTATTCTCCGAAACTAAAGCTAAAAATAAACTTCTATTCTATCCTTTAATTTACCGGAAGGAAAGACGGAGTCATTAAAAAAAATCAAACGAAGCCAAAAATTTCTTTAAAGATGAACCCCATCTTAGCATGATGGTAAAAGAAATAGCCTAGGTAAAAGAAGTACAAGGAAAATTACGTTATGTTCATTTTCACACTATACTCTTAACAAAGGTAACAATATATCTCTTTGAAAGCATTGGAGTGTTTACGTATTTACTATTTGTGAAAGATATTTTGCGTGCGTTATCATGAGATAACGAAGAAAACATATGCAGAGGAGTAATTGAAGGACCCTGGGATCAAATAAACTACGCACACAAAACTTCTTTTACAAATAGTAAATTCACGAAGAGCACAATGCTTTCCAAGTATATCTGGGAAATTAAAACAAAAAGCAAATCAGACGAAAAATATCATGGAAAATAAGGAAAATAACATCAGCCTACAACAATCAATCCAAAAAGGTAATTACTGTTTGGAGGAAAAAATAGGATTAATTACCTTCCCAAACCAAAACAAACTACTAAATAAACGATCATAACTCATCTCAAAATGCAGACACGAAAACAGATTTTTACTAAGTTACTTAAGAATCGAAAACTCTAAAGAATAATTAAAAATAAATAAATTAGAATAAATAAGCAAAAACAAGTAAAGTAAATTAATCCAAATGAATAAATAAAGTAAATAATAAACAAATTAACAAATCACTACCGCCAAAATAACCGTTAAAATAGACTAACCACAATGCAATAGGCCAGTATATATACATAGTCGAGAAAAAACGCAACGCATGTGGACTGATGATTGCGGTGAGCATGCAACAGTCTGTCTCCTCTGAGTATTGACTTCAATGTTCTCTTTTTTGTATATATATATATATATATATATATATATATATATATATATATATATATATAATTGTTCTGGATTCCGGGATGAAATCCGGTACCAATAAATAACAAACGCCAAGTATGAATATAGGGAAAATAATGTATTAACATAATAATACAAACTGGTAATGCAGGTTAGTAGTTCAAGGAATACGGATTAGTAGCAAAATATCTATACAGTCTTTGGTATTGAAGTATCGCTGTATGACTTCTTACTGAGTCTACGTGCTCGCTCACTGTGATTCCTACAACGCTGTTACCTCACCCCCTCACTCTTCCGGTTACCTACAACCTTTTACTCTGTCACTCTGGACTCGACTCATCGGTCTTGCTCGTGTCTGCCTCTCGTATCGCTCTTGAAGTAGTATAAGTAGATGCCGGGTGAGTTCATTTGTATAAAAATGGAAGAACCCCTCAACAATATATATATATATATATATATATATATATATATATATATATATATATTATTAATATCAGGTAAATTCGCCAATTAAGATATATTCACTACTTGAAATTTTGAAAGAAAAATTTAAAATGAATATATCATTCAAAAATTGGATTGTTATAGTTAAAGAAAGTTTTACAAATAGATGCCAATCTGTTGAAGGCCAAGTAAAACTCAAATTTCAAACATTTTTCTGTAATATGTAGGGCAATATTCCTAAACACAACTATTTCTGATGTGAAAATCAAAACAATCTTTGAATAAATGAACACTAATGAAGGACAGTTTATTAAGAAATAAACTTTTTAAATCAATATGCAAATTATTTAAACCTGAAGAGTGATATCACCTAGAATTAGATAATATATATTGAGCCTTCAGCGTATAAGAAATTTTTACACATTATTTATCATTCCTCAGTTGCGTCTCTGTTCTTGGACAGAGTGCTTCTCAGGGGCTTCCCTGTCAAAGGAGAGAGAGGCAACTGAGGAAAATAATACTGAGAGGTGCCCGCCACTGGGGAACAGCTGTCCGAGGCCGCGCCCTCCCATTGCGCCAGAGGGAGGGATTGGTGCTCGCACCGAGGCCAGCACAACCGACGGTTGCGGGGGCTGTGGGCAATTTCTGTACTTGTTCCAGGCGTACGCGCCTGGGTCCCCACCTAAAAAGACCTTGTGTCACATCTCGTTCAAGTAGGGAGAAAGCGTTAATGCCGCGTAAAAATTCCTCCTTGGAGGGATTTTCAATGCAGGCTTATCATCTCTCAATTGTGTCTCTGTATTTGGGCAGAGTGCGCTCAGTGGCTTCTCTGTCAAAGGACAGAGGGACAACTGAGAAATACTGAGAGGTGCCCAGCCCTGGATAACAGCTGCCCAAGGCCGCGCCTTCCCATTACACCAGAGGGAGAGATCGGTGCTCGCATCGAGGCCAGCGCAACCGACGGTTGCGGGAGCTGTGGGGAATTTTTGTCCCTTACCCGAGTGTACGCGCTCGGGTCCCTACTTTAAAACGACCTTGTGTCACATCTCGTTCTCGTGGGGGAACGAGTAAATACCGTATAAATTACTATAGAGTTGTGTCTTTTTTAAACCCCAGAATTCCTCAGATAATTGTGCTCCAATTTCGCTATTATTTAAATAGATTCTATAATATAGGTTTTACTTAATTAGCTATTACGTTTCTCTTATTCTTCAAATGTTAGATGTATAATTAATTCTAAATTCTCTTTTGCCATATTTACACTATATTGATTTTATCTTATAAATTGCCTCCTGTTCTGTTACCCATGAAATAAAAATAATTGTTTGTACGGAAAATAGGGACCTACGTACATCATATCATCTTTAAATTAAGTGGCAGCAGAAGAATTATCGTTGTACTTTTAAAAGTTATGCTTAAATATAAAATACTTAAATTCAGCGGTCAATTTTGAGTTCTTCTGTAGCTTATTGATTCTTATAACATCTACTCCTCCCTAGCTATTGTGATGATGGCCAAACCAAGAGTCCTCCATAATTGTTAGCCCGATAGGTCAATAATTTTGGGTACAAAAGAAAAATAAGAGTTACTCCCCTTGAACCATGAAAGCAACTATAATGACTAGTATAATATATTAATATATATTTTTAACCTCACATAACCGGCCAATCTTGAATCTGAGCTCAACGAAAATCGTTACCTGCGAATCGTTATATATATATGTATATATATATATATATATATATATGTGTGTGTGTGTGTGTGTGTGTGTGTGTGTGTGTGTGTGTGTGTGTGTGTATACCATCTCTTCACTTGGCAGGACTTTTGCGATTTTCATTCAGAATTTCATTATTTCCATCATTTACACCTGACCTAGCGCTCCGCTATGGGCCCGTAACTGATTCTTAAGTTCATGTTAACTTTTACAACCTCTTTTACACATGTCGCAAAGATAAAATTTCGTTGTGTTATTTATGTTGGAAACTTGCCTGTTCCTGTGTACAATCATGTGACATTTGTGTCTCGCAAACGACTTATAAACCTTGCCAAAAATCTCACTTAAATAACCCGGAGGTCTTTCTGATAGGGTTGCATTCACAAGAGTTTTCAACTAACCTCTGCGTTTTGATCTCATGTGACTGGCTAAACCAGCCGCTGAGAGGGTAACTTTTCCAAAAATACTGCAAGTTTTATTTATTCTGGTGAAGCATTGTTGCTTTAGGTTCTAGAAGAGATCGCTGGTGGTAAAATATCTCCCGTCAACATTTCCTCAAACTTTCGTCTGTAAAAATGTTTTTTATGGTTTTGAAAAAGAATTAGAAAACACACACATAAATACAAAATGTTTTCGATCATCGCTTTGTGCCTCATACTTTCGGCCTTGTACCACATTTAAGCTACGTTTTGAAAATCACCATAATGGCATATAGACGTGGTGTAATGGTTAGCTAGCTGTCTCGCTAGATCAATTACGGCTGGATAGTAAGTTCGATCCTCAGTGGATGCTCCCTACTTTCGGCCTTGTGCCACATTTAAGCTACGCTTTGAAAATCACCACATGGGCACTTCGAAATGGTGTAATGGTTAGCCAGCTGTCTCGCTAGATTAATTACAACTGAATAGTGAGTTCGATCCTCAGTGTATGCTCCCTAATTTCGGCCTTGTGCTACATTTAAGCTACGCTTTGAAAATCACCACATGGGCACTTCGAAATGGTGTAATGGTTAGCCAGCTTGCCTCGCTAGATCAATTAAATCAGAGCAGTATTTTCGATTCTCCCTGCTTTATACTTTTAGATTTGTGTCCCATCTATGCGATCCTTAGTAAATCGTTATATATTTCCGAACTTCGATGAGACGTAATGGTTTTACAAGCGTATATTTCTAGCTCAATTACGACTGACTAGTCAGTTCACTCATTTTTGGGTTCACAATCCTTCAACCATGCTGTGTTTAATAAATCTCACAAAAGCTAAATACCTATAGTGTTTTTTTTTTTGTTTTTTTGTTTTTTAAGCATTTCACCCTAAGTAAGGCATGAGTACCACTAGCAAGCAAGTTGTTGCAGGGAGTGAGAGCAATTGAGGAAAGGATATATAGAAGAATGGGGATCAGTAGATATCGATTGATATTACATTTGAATATTTGAAGATTATAGCTATAGCAAGGGGTAGGAAGGGAGTTACACTGTCGAGAAGT